TCAACCCTTGGGTGACAGGACTGAAGCTGCCAAGGAGGGGGAGGAAAGGTCCTGTCCTGCTTAGGTCAGACACAACCAGAAAGTGCTGAGAGGTGCAGGACCAAGTGGCAAACTCCTGCTGCAAGGGTTCTGCCTCTTGTGCAGTTGCTGAAGGACAGAAAAAGATGAAAAAAAAGGTTTTTATCACACTTCTCAATATGAGTTTGTCATGGATTAGCTTCATTTCTATATTTCAGACCAACAATGAAGTTCAACAAGGCTGTATGAACAGCTCCTTGTCTGTCTGTTCCATGAGGTCTCGAGGCCCTTTTGGAAAAACAAACAATAGGACTGCAGTAAATGTCTGCCATTCTCATATGATTCTCTGTTTTGCTTTGTTTTCTGTAACTTTTAAACAGATGTTCAATTCATGCTTGTTATTGCCTACAATGGACAGGGTCTAACTCACTTGGACTACAGAAGTAAAAACAGGCAGAAAACCCTGCAGGTGTAGGATAATTCTGTGATTAGAAAAAGCTGTGGTAGAATTTAACGAGATACTCAGTAACTGGCTGAAAGGTTTCAGCACTTGCTACCTTCCTGTCCTAGAGGTTCATGTTCTAAATCTTCCTGTAACTCTGCTGGGTGTAAGATAATGAATTCTGCTGTGATGTCTCTTACTGAGAGAAATCCAGTGTACTGAAGAACTCAAGCTCTGGTGAGGATGAATTCTTACATTTCTTTAAAACAGAATGAAAAATCATGCCAGATTTGCAACCAACAAAAGAAGTTAAAAAGGAAACCATCCAAGGGTATTCTGAGAAAGCCAAAATATATGAAAAAGCATTTATGCTGTAGACTTTTGAACGTGTATCTAAACTGAGTTTGACTTTCCAAAGGAAATTAAAACACACAGTAAAAGACTGTTGGCCAAAGAAACAGGAATATTAGGAATTGATTGGAGGTAAAGGGGGGATCTAGTTGAATAAAAGTACCTAGGTAAGACAGAAAAGAAAAATGAATGCTTTGCTTCAGTTTTCAGGGGGGCTGGGGATGGATATCCCACACATCATGGTGCAGGGAAATCAAGGAACAACGTGCAAAACAAACTCCAAAAGCCTAACACCATAAACTCTTGAGGGAACCTATGGTCTCCATGCCAGAATTCTGAGAGAAACAGCACAGAGAATAGACATTCAGCAGAGAGGATTTTTAACAAATGTTTAAATGTGCTAAGGACAGCAATTTCAATATACACTCTGCACTTCTCACAAAGCTAGAGAACTTGGGTTCCTCAGTCACTGCTTCCATGAACATTAGTAAAGTAAAAGCATCTTGCATAGAGCATATGAACCCTTTGCCTTCTTCTTTGTCTCTGCAAAACCTGAACAGCTGCTCACTTGTTTATCCTCCAAAAAGAACAAAGAATTCTGTGAAACGTTTGACTTGGTGACTTTGTTTCCACTGTTCTTGGGATAATTGTTAGCATGACTATTAGTGCTCTGGTTACCAGCAGTTATTATTCTTTTGAAGTCATTCCTTTCCACTAGAGTTTATACCCTAATGGGACATTGGTAGCTGGTATTTCAATCCAGCTGTCTCATATTTTTCAACTAAAAGCACCTTCATACAGAAGTTTTTTACAAAGTTCTACCATTAATCGTAACATTTTGCAGCATTTAATGTGTATTGTCTCAAAAACCACCAACCTGTTTCCTTTGACTTTTCTACATATTTCACACGGAAGAATTCCCTTTAATTGTACTATTTAATCTAATCTACTTCTGTAACATCAATATCCTGATTAAAATGTTATGCAGATCATGTACAAATGCTCCTGTGCAAAATCAAGCCCAGAAAAATCTGTAAAACACAACAAAAATGGGATCCTTAGAGTCAAAAAATGACTGAGAACTGTGGATACACGCTGGACCAACTACCTAGTTATTTCTCATTGACAGCTGCCTCTGCATCAAGCTTGCAAGTGAGCAATGAAAAGCATCTCAAGGGGAGCAGCCCCTGATGCCAGAGGCATTTCTGTTCCAGCCCAGCAGTATCACACACCTGCCACTGTGTGGCTGCTCTAAAGTGTTGCCTCATACCTGGCAGGACTGCAATCAATGTTTTACATATCTTGGATTGAGCTTGGACACTGAAATGCATAGCTGGTAATTTGCATTAACAATAGTATTGGGCAGCATTTTACATTTAAGCACTCTATTTTTAAAAACATTCTTTCTGTGTAATTACATGTTCAAAATGCTTCCTGAGAAACTGATCTAGAGAATTTCTGCTTTTCCTGCCATGTTGAAAAATTGCCCCTTGTGAATGAGTGGCCTCATCCATTTACATTTCCCAATTATTTTTTGTCAATGAGTTCCTGCCCTGATTCAGCCTTGCAATGAATCCCCTGTAAGCAGCAAGGTGCCATTCTCTGGCCTCAGAACATCTCATTTCCTCACCTTGGCTGCTACACTAACAGTGCATGTCTGAGTAACCCCCAGATCCACTAAAGCTTCTTCCAGGGTAGCTGGCACTGTCTGGAACATATCTAACCAGGAACGCAAACACATCCTGGCTCAGAAAATGAAAGGCAGGCTTTTCTCAGCACTCTCTGTGCTGGCAATCACTATCTCTAAGGGATGCTGGAGTAGCTGACTAACATTTCACCAAACCTCAAAAAAACCTTCCCATGGCTGTGGCTGAACAATGGGATTCATTAAGGAGAGAGCTCACATCCTTTCTAACCATTTTTAACTCTCCTGAGCTCTGGTCAGGACTTGCAAAGCAGCAGAGGAAGATGGCCCTGAGAGAAGCCATTCCAGGGCTGCTGTGCCCTCAGGATTTCATGGGTGCACAGCCCAGGTGCTGCACTCTGGGCACCCCCTGGGCCTTGGGCTGTCACAGCCTCAGCACACCTGAGGCTTTTCCCCTCATTTTACCTGAGTGACAGTCCCACAAATACACCCTGTGAGGCTCTTCCCCTCATATTACCTGAGTGACAGTCCCACAAATACACCCTGTGAGGCTTTCCCCTCATATCACCTGAGTGACAGTCCCACAAATACACCCTATGAGGCTCTTCCCCTCATATCACCTGAGTGACTGTCCCACACAGACACCCTATGAGGCTCTTCCCCTCATATTACCTGAGTGACAGTCCCACACAGACATCCCTACAGAGCACTCCAAGCAAATACTGCAGAGCTGAGTCTGCCTCTGCACAGAAACTGACTGAAGCTGTGTTACATTCCTCAGTGTAAATTCTCCAGAAATTCAAAACTCCAGAAAGAAATACACAGTCATGACCATGGAATTCAAGTCTAAGACAAATGGACATAAAGAAGACTCTTAGCTCACTGAGGAACAGAAGCAACTTTGTAATCCTAAAAGACACAAGAGCCCCTGAGTCACTAAGGGAGGGATGAGCAACACAGGCATTAAATGAAGCTTACCTAGAAAAAAAGGAAATTTCCCAATGAAAACTTCTTAGCCTGTGCTCACTGACACAGGAGCTGACCTGAAGACCTGAGCAAGCATCACCCACAATCTGGTTTGCTTGGTTTGGACCTACACCCAGCTCACAAACTCTCACTGCTATGGGACACATGCTGCATGTTTCAGGGTCTGTCCTCAGTGTACAAACTGCTTCCTAACTGACACTGCAATAAGGATGAGACATTGGAATCATTCTGCACATCTGAATTCTACTTTACCTTACACAATGCAGTATGTTAAGACTAATGTTCTTCACATTAGAGTGGTTTTGGTGGGAAGGGACCTTTAAAGGCCACCAAGTCCAACACCCCCTGCAATGAGCAGTTTGCTCAGAGCCCTGCAGCCTGGCCTGGAATGCTTCCAGGGATGGGGCTTCTACCACCTTGCTGGCCAGCCTGTGCCAGTGTTTCACTGGCACTCACACTGCAATAAATCTCTCCCTTTTGTCTAGCTAAATCTCTCCTCTTTCATTTAAAATCATTACCTCTTGCCCTATCACAACAGGCCCTACAGAAAAGCCTGTTCTCATTTACAAGCCCCTGTAAGTACCCAAGGGCTGCAGCATGGCCTCCACAGAGACTTCCCCAGCCCCAGCTTTCCTCGTGGGAGAGGGGCTCCATCCCTCTGATCACCCCTGTGCCTCCTCTGCAACACTCCAACACTCCCTGTCCCTGCTGTGCTGGGACCCCAGGGCTGGAGGAGCTCTGCAGGAGGGGTCTCACCGAAATGAAGCAGAGCAGCACACCCATCTCCCATCAGCTGCTGCTCAGGCTGGGCTGTCATGGCTTTGTATTCACAAGAAAAGGAATCTGTTTCCCACCATGTTCTCAACTGCACAGTCAGTGCAGAAGATAAACTTCCTTGGAAAAATCTATCTATGTTGTTATTAATGCTTAATCTTATATTAAAATGAAATTTCTGAACATACAGACATTGCAGCTCAGTTGTTTATCATTCTTTATGAAGATATTTGGGGGAAATTCTGCATCTGACAAAATTCTGGCTTGAATTGTAAAAATAAGCTTCTCTGATTCAGTTTCTGAACTTCAGGAAAAACACAAACATAAGCACAGTGATTGCAATTGTGTGAGACAAAGAAATCAGGTTGAGTCTTCTGGTGTAAGGCTGAAAGAATTTGATATGGGAATATCAGAATCACCTGAAAATACTCTCTCTCCCACATTCCACAGGTTAAAGCTGAAGAACTACGAGATTTGGTTTTGTAGCTGCAAGTTAGCAACTAATGAAGTGAACAAAGATCTTTACCAACCAAACAAAAGTATGTATTTTTAAAGAAGTAAAGACATTTTTGTGCAACATTCTGATGTGGTACTCAATGCAGTTCTAGACTTGTGGAGCTACAATCACACGTTTCACCGTAACCCAAGTTTCCCAGGCCAGTTCATCCTGGACATGAGCTTGGGGGCATTTATCACACACACAGCTCTGAATGCTCCCAGAAATGCTCTGACATCCTGGCCCATCTCAGCCATTGGTATGAAAAGAACAAATTGCAGACTCACCCGAATCATCATGACGGAGCACCTGATGTTGTGGATTGTATCGTACACCTTCTTGGAAATGTCAACAAACTGGTTGTCATCAAACAGATGCACTGTGTTCTTGCTTAAGCTCTCCAATGCAATATTTACTTGACTAATAAACTCTGGAATCACTATTAAAAAAAACCAAAAAACAACAAAATTCAGTGAGCATAAAAGAACATGTAGTTTATTTCTTTTTGGCAAAACACCTGACATTGATAAAAACTTTATTTTCTAAAAAGCATTACAGTAATAGTGCAATTACTTTTAAGTGAGAATACATTTGGAGTTTTTATCACAGTAGTTATTAAAATGCCCATGGTAAGCACATAAGCTGTGGGTGGTTGTACAGTATTAAAAGAAGAAAGAAGTTTTAAAAGAGGAGCTGGGGAAGCAGTTGTAAAAATTTGTTGGTGATTTCAATAGCAATTTTACCCAGAGAATCAGGATGAACAACCTGGCTTAAAGTTACAACCACAGCTGAACAGACTTCCACTATTTCCCAATCTGCCTTCAGTCTGAATGGAGATGTAACCAGCAGAAGATTGATGTTTATTCCTCAACTGAGCAAGTCCCACAGCTGTAACCCGAATTTGCCAGGGCAATTTATCTTGTTTGAACCAAACAAACTGTGCATTTGAGTCAGCTGGATTTTAACCTTCACCCAGAAGGGCTGGGGGTTTTCTGCTGCTGCCCCAGGGGTTTGTTCTGCATGGTGACCTGGCAGCACTGCATCTCCCTCAAGCCTTCACACCACCCTGAAGCAAAGGAAACCCAGCACAGAATACGGAAGGAATGCAAATGGAAAATCCATCACACACAGAAGGACCCCAAACAAGCCCAGACCAAACTCATTTCCTTTCACTTGGAGTCTGAGAGGAAACAAATGCAGAGGGATAAAACTGAACTTGTGTAATATTCAATATCAGTAACAAACCTCATGGTACTAAAGCTCTCTCTCTGGCAATGTGTTGGTTTCAAACACTAATATTGTTTGTGTTCCACCCTCCACAATTCCACACTGTGCAATTCACAAATCCCTGACACACGAAAGCACTACTACTGATACCATTGATGTGAAACATTTCAGGCAAATCTTGAAGTATTTAATAAATCTGTAGGCAGACAAAGCTTCAGCTGAAGGCATGATGATTTCTGAATTAGAAAACCTGGCAACTTAGGTGCCCCAATAATGCTTTCCTCCCTAACTTTGATGAGGAGACCCACATAGCCCTTGGAGACAGTTAAATTCATTTTCAAATTACAGTAACTTCACTGTCTTTGAGCCAACAAGTAGTTGCCACTTAACTTGAAAAACAGGGTATTTAAAATCAGTGCCTCTTCAGAATATCACTGGAATTGTCATATCTTCAAAAAGGTCAGTGGAAAGATTTATAACAGTACAGAAAAAATACAAGGCATTTTTCATTTGCAATCACATAAAATAATTAAGGAGAACAAGTGCCTATTTATTGGTCTTAAAAAAAATCAAAGAAGCACCACTGAATGAGAACTTTTCATCATTTTGCAATGGTTTTCTTTCTAGTTAAACAAAGATTTTGGCCTTTAGACTATCAAAATAATTCCAAGTGGAGCAACCCAGGCTGCACTGGAGTGCAGAACCACCACTCAGGGCTCTCCTCCAGCAGCATTTCAGATGGGGCTTTGCAGCAACCGCACTTTTACACAGACAATTAAAACACAGGACTATACTGCAGTTCTAAAGCATGTACACACAAATCTGCTAATGAAGTGTGAAAATACACTTGGGCTATCAAACAGGCCTTATTTCCTGCTCATTTTCCCTGTAAGTGATAGGACAACTCCCTCAAATCCAAGACTACTGGGATTTATTTCAGTTTTGAGCTCCCAATCAATGACAAAAAAAAAGAGCATTTTGGTGTGTATATGAGCTCCTACCCATGGATAACTAACATCCAAAATACTTCATAGACCTCAAATAGTCAAGCAACCCTCTGAAACACTGCATCAAGTGGACTGAATTGCACCAATAATGTGCATATTTCCTGTACTTGGCTTTATTTTTCTAGGCAGCCTAAATATAGTAGAGAAGTGGATGCAACTGAGAACAGGAGGAAATTACTTATTTTTTCAGTCTCTGAAAAGCAAAATAAAACTAGTAAAATTAAAAATATCAAGTGTTAGACAACTGAGAAGTACTAAATTTTTATGGGGATTTATTTGTTTTATTTGTACATTTCTGTTTTCTTTGTGTTCCATTCTGCTTCTCCTGCAACAAAAATTAAAAGCAAATTTCAATATGAGCATCTGTAATTGTGCTTTCCCTGAGAGGGAAGGTGCAGAAAGGAGGATGTTTGGAAAATACCAATATGTTCATAAGCATAACGTTCAAAGTCCCTAAAGTAATTGAAGATTTCACACTATCAAAAATATATTATTGAAATTAAACTAATTTGCTTTAAAATTCATCAAGTGTTTCCTAATTCCACTGTTTTTTTAAATAACACTTTTCATATTTCCTTGTAGGCATGTCTTCTTAGTCCTCTAATGTTTTTGCTTGATTTTGCAATCTTCAATCAAAACCAACTAATGAAGCCAGTTTGTAGTTTAATAGCTGTCAGGGCCCAGCTCTTCACACAGAAAACTAAACTTCACTAATCCCTTTTTTCCAATTAGCAACTCTGTGCCTGCGATTTTTAACAATAAAACAATCAGGAAAACAGAGTCTCAGCTTTGCATTGTGTTTGTACCTTTTACTTCAGCTGTGGCAAGTGATTACCCCACTTGAGCCACCACCAAAGCAGCTGACAGTGAAAAGCCAACAGGCTGCAGAGCCAAACTGTGTCCAACACTCAAACACACCTGGCCAGACAGGAACAGTCACCACCTCCTAGAACTGACCCCAAAAAAATGTACTTCTTTTTATTCATTCAAAATCTTTACATTTCTTCACTCAGGGAAAAAAGGAAGAAACTAGCAAACACACGATTTACCCCAAGAAAATCAGTGGTAAATAAGCCAAGTTTCCCTTCAGTGTTTATTTGCATGTACAAAGACTCTGAGCAACCTCCCCAGTGGTGCCAGCAGAGTGAGGAAAGGCTGGAGAGCTCCCACTGGAACAAAGGCTGAAGAGCTGCTCCTTCAAAGGCAGCTTTGAAATGGAAGTGAGAGCACAGGCAGTGACTGAAGCTCTCTGTGGCACAGCTTCAGAGCCCAGCTACACACACTGCAGCCCTGCCACAGCTCTGCCTTAACTCCGGCGGCCTTTCAACACAGGAGACAGCTCTCCTGGGGATTCAGCCACCTGCAGGCATCTTCTGTGCCCAAACAAGTCATTAAAAAAAACAAAAAAAAACCTGGGCAAGCTGGAGTGAAAAAATGGTTTTCCTTCTGAAGGTAAGAAAATCAGGGTAAGTTGCTAGTCATGAATTAGGACTCTAAGAGGAGGAAAACTTGCAAAAACCCACCTGAAGTACAGTCAAGTATGGCCTAAAAAGCTACTGGATGAGTTTCATATGAAGCTAGCACGATAGCAGAGCACTGAAATAAAGCAGATGTGCAGCAGGCAAGCTACCAGAGGTGTGAGCAGCCCAGAGCCACCCCAAGGCACAGGTGGCAGCAGCAGAAGGGACTTGACACAAGAGCTGTGTACCTCAAGTACTTCATTATTCCCCCATAACCTGATCACCTAGCATTAAAGTCAGTGTGATGGGTACATCAGGTTGCTTACAGAGGATTTAAGCAGCTTTCCAGCGGCAAAAATTCAGTGGAAGTGAAGAAAAGTATGGTTGTAAAGATTAAAAACAAAGCTGCCTGTTAAATGCAAGGTAATTCTAGAGAAAGGTAAGAAATCTAGATAATAGCCACACAGCCTCTATTCAGTACTTCTTTATTTAATTACATTCTTTGAGATCAGGTAATAGTTTGCACTTCCTGTGATTTAAAAATGAGCATTTGTAAATTTCTTCTCGAAAGGTGTCTAAGAATTCCAGATGGTAAGAACACTGCCTATTCCAGCAAGCCAATTTTACTGCTAAGTATTATGTCTACTCTTCATGTCACTGCAATCCAGAATGGTACATAAAGAATGAAAAAAATAAAACCCATCTAAGCTGAGGCAACTGTGCTGGCTAAGGGACATCCTGTGAAATAAAAGGGATCTGCTGGCAGCAGCCTGAGTCACAGCACCCAAGATAAAATTCAGAATGGAACAGATTGTTTCAGTGACTGATGGAGATAGCTTCATTAGAGGTGTTCCAAAATACACTGAAATAATAATGGAATTACTGCAAAAAAAGAGTACTGTGCACTCACTGGAAAAGGTTGAGCTGAATAACACAAGCAGGTTTTGAAACTGCAACCACTTGCGACTCTTACAAATCCACATAAAGCAATCCTAACATGAAGATGAAGCAGCTCCTGAAGCTAATTTCACTATGGCACAAACTCCTAATTCAAGCCTCTATTTCTGTGATACAATGTTAAATTGGTAACTTCTTACTCTGCCACTGTATCCAAAGGCTTTCTAAGGAATACATTTACATATATCTACATATATATGAATATATGAATGAAGCAGAAGAGCTTTGTGACTATAGGTATTTGATATACCCCTTATATTAGCATTCACCTTATTTGGTAACAAGTTTACAGGTTTTATGCAGAAGAGATTAACTATTTGTGGGACTTGCAACACCTGAAAGAGCTCATATTCCTCTGGCAGCTTCAATCCTAGGCCAGTGTATGAGAGGCACGACCTCAGAATCCCCCATTGTCCCTTCCCTGACTATTTAGAGCATAAAGATCTAGAAATTATCATAATGGAATTTAGCATTTCATGCCAAAGTTTCTGCATAATAACAGTGTAATAGAACATGAAGTAGTCCAAGGAGAGGCCTGATGCACATAAAAAGTTTCCTAACAAAAAGCAAGCTGTATCTGCCTCTCTAACTCACACCCGTGCCAGCTGCAGCTGTGTATTTTGCAGCTTGCAAAGCTGGCAGACTGCTGGCAGACCCACAAAACACAGCTGAGTGTGTATATACATGTAGACATGAGTATATAATTACCTAGCTATGTACAAATGGGCACCATGAGTATTTTTGTATGTGTATGTTTACAGACATATTTATACAGAAACTGCGCTGAA